TCTTTCCCTTTCTCCCGATCTCCCTTTTTCTCTGTCCATCGAACGTACCGGTGATAAATCTTCGCGATCTCGCTGACCGTTGACTGAGCAAATTACCACCGTGATCCTTCATCTTCCTATTACCGCGCAGACGCTACGTCGGAGGGGGATTATCCCGACGCCGCGACCGTGGGACGATGGGGTGCGTGGACGTGATGCCGGCCCCGTGAAAAGTGAACGCGCGATATCCAAGACGGGGGAGACCCCACGGCCCTGAACCGTTGTGACCGCGCTCGCAAATTCGGTGAAATTAGCCAGGATCGACAATGGCCCCGATCGATCGATCGATTATCCTGTTCGACGCAGCTGAACAAATAACTGGGCTAAAACGCCTGGCCCGTACCGTTTCCTCGACCCAGCTTCTGCTCCTCTCGCAAAAACCCGCTTTAATTATTTTTATACCTCGTCGCCCCCTTGATTAACTTTCTCGATAATTCGACCACTTTCACGGAAGCCGAGTTATTACGCACGCGTTCGATCCGAGCCTGTTTTCCACGGGAATTTCGGCCGATAGCTTCGAAGCTACGAGTTCTCTCGGCCTCTCCGCGCCGGTAAAATCGGCCAGTCCTGGAAAAATCGGAGATCGTGCCGGTCGTTGGATCCGTCGTAATAAATCACGCTAACCGCGTTACGGAGCAGAGAAAATTGCCGGCGTGATCTTTCATCTTCCCATTATCGTTCGGGTAGCACGGTCAGGATCACGCCGATCCCTCTCCGTTCTACGAGCAGCGCCGATTCAATTCACTCGAGGAATCACGCGACTAGTTGGCCGAACCGTCGTGCCGTGACCTGTGATCAACGGGACGCATAATGAGACCTTCAGTCATTCGGAGCATCGTTTTCAGCCGAGCGATAACGTTCGTTCCCGTGATCTTAATCCCTTAGAGGATGCTGAACTTTCCTAGGCGACGACACGCGAACGAGCTACGAGGCCCACTCGCCCCAAAGCGTCTCCGCGAAACCGATCCTCCACGGTCATGATCCGCTTTTCGACGAGAACCGCGCGAATCGCGATCGAAATTTAATTACCATCTTGGAAATCGACGCCATCGATCGTAAAACGCGCACCGCTTTCGTCAACGATTACTCGATCCGCTCGGTAATTCCTCCACTGACCCACATAAACGTTCTCGAAACCGAGCGGATTCCTCTCGAATTCCTCTCGCTGTACGTACGTACACCGAGCAAGTAGAAAAGTTAGCCTCGGGCGAAATTCGACACCTTGGCTGTTCCATCAACGACGAGCAACGACGTTCCACTAACGACGAGTCTTATCGCTTATCCGCGTGCTCGTTACCGATTGTTTGAGCGGATCGACGCGGGTCGATGAACCGCTTACGCGAATCTCGTGGTCCCAGCGACCTCGACCTCGAGTGGTAACGCGGAATTACACTCCAGTTCGATGGGATGATCTCGAGACGAGAGGTGATCTCGTCTCGTTCAGAGGCAGTTGGATCCGTCGAAAATGGTTCGAGGGATCACGATTACCCGAGCGAAGACCAGCTCGTTCCTCCAGCATCGACGACTCGCTTCCGTTCGACTGAAGCCGCGAGTCAGGACACGTCTTCGACCACCAACGAACGCTTGGTACCGGTCGAGACAATGCACGACGAATCGCACGACAAAAGTGGAACGATCTCCATGCACGATAAAAGAACTGCGCGGCAAATCGGTGAGAGAGGCCGAGATTGCTCGTGGAATCTCGCGTTTCAAAGCCGCGGCTACATTGTGTTCCGCGTTGGCAGGCGTCATAACAGTAATTAAACGTGATGCGGTGGCGAACGAGGCACGCTGGAAGCGCAGGAAACGGTGAGACGTTATTAAGTCCGAGTTCGCGAGGACAATGATCGAGCCCCGTCGCGACCCATCCAGGAGGAAAGTGGCCTAATCCACTTTTCGTTCCTTCGATCACGCCGGTTTACTAGGCTTTCCGCCTCAAACATCGTCTATTCCTGGACAGGTCGTCTGGAGTTAACGCGTTGGAACTTTAACCCCTTCGTTACTACGGGTGACTATAGTCACCGGTCTCAAAAATTGAGTAAAAAATTAAGACAAGTGCAAGAGTTGGTAAGATTATGGGAGCTCCGGTTACCGATAAGGCGGCGTGAGTGAGGAGCACGTAGCAACGATAACCAGAGTCAAATCGAAACGGCGATCTGCTTGATCTTCGCGTGAAAGAGAGTCTTACGCGAGATAGACGAGCAACGTGTACTGTACGGAGAAGAATTAAATAAAGCAGCCACCGAGAGTTAGAATCATTAGAGTAGAGTTCTCTCTCTCTCCCCTTACGCAAGTGCTATCGTTCCTTTTATCTCTCTTCGCAAAGAATTGCAATTTCTATTGCGATGATCAGTTTTTCCTTTTCTTTCTTTCTTCGAAAAATTTGCGTCGAAAGACCGAATGCCAAAGATTGCACTATCGTAATGTTACCATCTTTGACACTTTGCTTCGTCCTATGGGAGTTGGAGAGTATGGGACTTCGCGACGCCCACCGTAGAAAGGGTTAACCGTTTGGGTCTCAGAGGCTTTTAAAAGAACACGGTCGAAAAATCCCAATCGGCGCGATAGCGCTTCTATTTGCTATCAGCAAAGTTGTGGCTCCACTTTGGCAGTCAGTGATAGCACCGTCAATTGTCCATAGCTCTCGAAATGTACTGAGATTTTTCGACGCAAAATCTGTTCGGGACTGAAACGGTTAAGAGAGATACCGACGCGTACGTGGACCGGAGGATAATAACGTTGTAAAGTTCGAGGGTGGACGAGACTAATCGACGAGTCGTTTGGATCGCCGGGCAAGTTCACGGGGAAACGATGGCTTAATGTCCCGCTGATCGAGCTGCTCCGGAGGAACGGCAGCGCGAAACACCGAACGCGGCCTAGCCTGCAATCTTGGCCTAATCGGCGATTCATCTGGCAGACGGAAGAGGAATGCAAATGATAGATCTCGTCGTGGCGAGTGACGTAACGCTTGTCCATGTCCGCGCAACGCGATCGTTTCACGGTCAGAACGCGCGACACATCGCTGCAACCGATTGCACCGGCAGCGATCACGATTTATGGCCTACGCTGCGGGCGAACCTGCAAATATTATCGCGGGGAATACGTTAACCTTGCGGAAACTAGATTTATCCGCTCGCCGTTTCATCCAGAGATCTGCCCCAGCGCGGATCTACCGTTCGCGCGAATACGTCAGATCGAGGTCGAGATATTACCCAATCGCGTTATTATGATTTTCCTACGCGCCGCGTGAAAAGCTAATTACTTGGTAGGCGTGTTGCCAGAAGAAAGGAGAAAAGTACCGTAATCCCATGGGAACAAAGGGTTCTGGCCAACATACGCGATATCGGAAAGCCTCCATTATGGTTGATCGTATTTACATCTCAGCGTTTGACGTCCGAGGTTCTCGATGGAGAAGTACTGTACGTTCGGGAAAAGAAGGCACAACGCGTTTATGTTCTCATAGGTGATTGAATTCACCGACACTAACTTGATCAGGAATCAACAGCATTCGTGGAAAGACACCTTTATTGCTAGATCGCATTGGGACTTGAATATTGCAAATATAAAAGGAAAGATTTCTAATAAAATTCTAAATCTATTATGGTCAAATAACCGGTGAATGGAAAGGAAGTAAGAATTTTGAAGAAATGGAATAAGCAGAGACATGGAGAAATTGATTAACCCTTTGCACTCGACGATATTTTCCCTAAAGATGAGTATAGGAGTTCAAAGATTTTCTGTTATAAAGCTGACAATATTTTTTTCAGCAGTAAGTAAGAAATGGTATAATAATTAACACGTAGAATTATTTCATTTCGATACCTCTTACATCGTTACATTATCTCAAATTTGACATAGTAATGAACATCGATCTTCGAAATTTTATCAAATGGTGACTGAAGGGCGCCTGTGGAGTGCAAAGCGTTAAATATATCAGAAGAAAAATGGCGTTGAATGCGGGACTTGGTATTAATAATTTTCCCAATATCACACGCGTCGAAATCATCTCTGCCGGGAAGCTTGCGCAGGTTTATGGACTTAATCGAGACTTAAATTAGAATTAAAACTCAATTTCTACGGCGTGTAGCATCACGTAAATGACCCAGAAACACCGATATTATCCGTACTGGCGAGTCGCATAAATTGCGCAGCGAAGCCAGCCTCGTCAGAGACGCGATAATTAGCAACGATTCGAGCGATTGCACGGACCACGCGGGATTCGCGTTCAAACAGGGGTAGCAATTCCGTGGCGGCTGAAAGGGAGCCGCGGCTCTCTGTTGCTTCGGCGACCGATCGTTAGCGATAGACGAAAGGTCGTAAAAAAATTAGCGTTGTTGAAACGGCCGACGTTGGTCGGTAGCGAGGAAAATTACGGTTCGCGCGGAGAAGCACGCAGTTTATGCCTTTTACGTCCTCGAACGTGGATGGCCGTTTAGCTCGCAACGATCCTCGTGGCGATCCGCGGAGGGTACACGCCTGGCTACTCGCGATTCAGCCTCTCTGGCCACGGGATCCGCTGAAAGTAAGTTAATCCAAGGTTACCGGTTCCCGCGGTGATCGTGGACGATCGTCACGGCAAAAA